GTCTCATTGTAGCCCAGACTGGCCTCATTCATTATAAGCCAAAGATGATCTTGCACTTCTGATCTTCCTGCCTTCACTTCTTAAGTGTTGAGATTCCAGACACACACAATCAGGCTTGGTTTTATTTGCTGCTAGGGATGTAACCCAAGTTTGCCTGCATACTAGGCAAGCACTCTATGAGCCGAACTACATCCCCAACCCTGGCAAAGAAGATTCTTGCAAAGAAGTGTTATCAAAAGCTGTCTTCTTTATTGGTGGCACTTCTTTGTATTAGAGTTAGTGATAAACCAGCATTGGATGAGCAACTATGACCATTTTTTCAGTGATCTCTACAGTTTAGTGTATCTAGCTAATTAGAAAAACATATAAACCATATTATTATAAATATATAAATATTATAAAGGATATGTAAAATTTTAGTTTTGATATGAATTTGTTGGCTTTGTGTGTGTCTTTGATAATTATAATTTTTGAAGACTTGCTCTAAATTGCTGTTGGCTCTACAAAATTTCTAACTCAATTTCCCAGTGTGACTTGAAGCCTGTCCCTCTTTTTGTGGGCTGTGAAGACTGGCCCGCTGGACTTTAACCTGCTGTGGTGTGGGAAGTCTCTGTGTTAGGACTGCTTTCTTCCCTCTGTGCTGTTAATCTGGAACTGTAGGCCACAAAGAGTTGTGACATCTTCATCATACCTGTCTTTCGATAGCAAACTGCTCTTAGGGCGAGCTGTATTCTTTTACGGACACAGCTGACCTGATCCTCTCCTATCTTTCTACTGTTCCTCTTTCTAGATCCCAAACTGACTTTTTGACACCTTCGACCCAAAAGAGCTAAAAATTGCCATGACCTAATCTCACTGTTGGGAAATAAGTAGGCCCTGTGGGGGGATGAATGTCATCTGAAAACATTTGTTCTCTATCTCCTTTCATGCGTGACCATTTCCCAAGTGTTTGGCGCCATTTTTGTTCCTATCTTATCTTTCCTTGAACAGTTTTGTCCATTATTGCTTCGTATGGTCCAGGTCTGTAGCCTTTAGCCATGTGTGGCTTTTGAATATAATTTAGTGGGAAATGTATTCTGTTTTCAGCTGGGAAAATGGACATTTTAACTTGATTGATTTTCATTAAGTTTAAATAGCCTGATGTACCATGTTGGATAGTGCAGATCAAGGTAAGGATGGTCTGCATTTGGTTTACTTGATCCAGTGTTGTTGGAGGGTACCTATTTACTTTCCTGGTGTTTGGTGAAACAGTTCTGCTTGTTAACCATTCTGCTTCCAGAAATACCTGTAGAGAAGCTGATGTCATTGCTAAACTGTGTAGCTTTGTGTGTGAGATAGAAGTTGGCATGTAGTAGGGTAGGATGAAACTGGAGTCGTGACTTGAATTCTTTGTGCTTTTTTGAAGCTTGTTCAGAATGATTTTTTTTTTTTAAACAGGGTTTTCCTATAGCCCCAGCTGCCCTGGAACTCTATGTAGTCTATGTAGACCAGGCTAGCCTTGATCTCACAGAGATCAGCCAGGCTCTGCCTCTACCTCTGCTTCCCGAGTGCTGGGATTAAAGGCGTGTGTCACCGAGCCTGGCTCAGCATGAATTTAAGAAGCTGAGATAACCATAACTCAAATTCCACATTTAATTTACAATGATAAAGTGTCAATATGCATGTTCCAGTAGAAAGGACACCAAGTTGCGTTAGTCAAAAAGTGTTGCTTCCAGAAACCAAGGACAAGAAAATCTCTCCTAGGGGCTGGAGAGACGGCTCACAGGTTAAGAGCACTGACTGCTCTTGCAGAGGACCCAGGTTTGATTCCCAGCACCCACATGGCGGCTATGAACCGTCCTTAACTCCAGTTCCAGGGGAATTCAAAACCCTTTTCTGACCTCCACGGCATTGCATGACACAGGTGTACTCACATACATGCAGGCAATACACTCATACACATAAAATAAAAATAATAAATAAAAATTAAAAAGAAAAAGAAAATCTCTTCTGTGCAAACAGGGTTGCCTTAACTGATGCTCATATGTACCTATTTATATACAGTTTTCATTTCCTCTCCCTGGTGCTGGGGATTGAACCCGGGCTTTGTGCATCCTAACTATGTGTTGTGCTGCTGAGATATACCTCCAGCCTTCATTTGGTGGTTGTGAGTAGGTTCCTGTTTATAGCCTAGCAGCATTGGGAACTTTAGAAATAAATTAGCATCTCACCAGGCACTCACTTCAGAAATAAATCAGGAACTTTTATTTCAAATCATTGCAAGGTTCCTTTTTTGGCCATTTTGTATTATTTTTCTCATGAACCCTGTGATCAGAGACAGCTAATTTTATTGCAACCTGTAATGTAAGTTCCCGAATATTACTAACTCACCTAACATAGATAAGATACATAATTTCAGTATTTTCTACTTACCTAAGGCCAGTTGGTATTGGTAGATTTGTAGTGTAGTGAGATATGTAATTTGGGTGGCAGAAAAAATTTAAATATTTCCCTCAAAATAAAGGTATTTTGGAGATAGATTTTTGCTAACTTGCTGGTATTTAATGTATTTAATATATTTGTGCTCTAGACTAGGTTGAATTCAGAGCACTAATGAGCATCTATGCACAATGACTCATTTCTTCAAGTTTTATGTCCCATCTAGGACATTCTTCCAAGTATATGAGGCTAAATACAGCCCTTGACAGAGAGGCTTACATTGTATAGTTGATTAGGGAGAATCTACACTTAAAATTCACCACAATATGTGACATTATGTGTACTGTGCCAGTAGAGTGACTGAAATCGTAAGTTCTGAGAACTCTGAGCAAAGCCTAGTTAGTGTTTTTCTAATGATTGGAAAGGCTTCGAAGGGCCTGGAGAGATGGCTCAGTGGTAAAGAGCACTGAGTGCTCTTGCAAAGGACCTGGGTTTGGTCCCCAGAACTCGCATGGTGGCTAACTCCAGTTCTAGGGGATTTGATGCTCTCTTCTAACCTCCCCAGGTACTGCATGACAGGGGTACATTTACATACATGCAGATAACACACTCATACATACAAAAGTAATACATATTCAAAAAAAAAAAGGCTTTGTGGAGGTTGGAGTTTAAGGAGTTAGCGAGGAAGCTGAGGATAGCAGAAAGAGGAGAACATTCTAGATGAGAGGACTGATGTGACAGAGGGCTGCAAAAGACCAGGTGAGCAGTGCTTCGAAGTAGGGAGTGGGTGTGTCTATTGGAATGAAAATTCCTGAAAGGGACAGGAGACAAATCAGCCTGGAAGCCTGGGGCATGCTTTGTTGTGTCAAGCTTTGACTGCTAGGCCATGGAATTATCCTTCAGGTAGCAAGGAGCCACTGGCTTTTTTTTTTTTTTTTTTTTCTTTTTTGGTCTTTTTGAGACATGGTCTCCCTGTAGCCCCAGCTGGCCTGGAACTCACTATGTAGACCAGGCTGGCCTTGAACTCACAGAGATCTACCTGCCTCTGCCTCCCAAGCACTGGGACTACAGGTGTGCGCCACCACACCCGGCTTTGAATACCTTTTAAGATGCTTCTTAGCTGTCATTATTTCTTCTTTTGAGAACTCTCTGTTCAGCTCCTTAGCCCATCTTTTAATTGGGTTACTTCCTGTCTTGATTCTCTGTTTTTTGAGTTCATTATATATTCTGGATGTCAAACCTCTGTCAGATGTATTGCTGGTGAAGATTTTCTCCCACTTTTTTTTTTTTTGGTCTTTTTGAGACAGGGTCTCCCTGTAGCCCCAGCTGTCCTGGAACCTTGGAACTCACTATATAGACCAGGCTGGCCTTGAACTCACAGAAATTTGCCTACCTTTGCCTCCCGAGTGCTGGGATTAAAGGCGTGTGCCTCCATGCCCGGCCCACTGGCATTTTTAAATAATGAGAGGAATATGAAAGAAGTGAGATTGAGGTGTATGATGAGATACAGCATGGTTGGGAAGGAGACAGAATTCCAGGAGTAGAGGATTAAGTGGAAGAGGAACTGGACTTCTGATGCTCAATGGGAACAAAAGGGAAGGGAATTCTTAGAATCGTAGCTTATTTGGTAGATACAAATTAAATTAGATTTATTTTTTTATCCTAATATGTTTGAGAGGTTGCAAAGCTCAGGGCCAAGGTGGGTTTTAGGCACATCAAGTTCAGGTGACGGGAGGCCTTATAAGATGATGAATTCAGCAGGAAGCAGGTGAAGACTGCTACATTGATGACAGCGAATAAGAGATCTACAGATTGGTGACTGTGTTCTGGAAATGTAAGAGTGGAAAAAGGCAGAGGAGCCAGTATATCTTTTAAAAGGAAAGTTTAAGGAGAATGAAAAGGGAAAAAAAAGACCACTGCATATAAGATACTTGAGAGTTGAGTGTTTAAATGGAATAGTTAGAATTGGAGCGGAGAATACACAACTTCCTGATAAAGTCTGTGATAAAGCAGGATGCAGTAGGCTCCATACCCGTTATGTTCCTGCTGGCTATCCCCTAGCTGCTTTTCAATCTTTTGATCTAAATAGCATGGCAAGGAGTTAAAAGACTTAGAATTAAAAATTGTCCAACCAGTTCCCTGTTAAGAGATTGGTTTAAATCACTGAAGGGCATGATAGGGCAGAACTTTGAGTGAACTGGGTTGGCAGGAATCAGACGAGTTATGTAATGACCCTGTTCCTGAAGATAATTGAAATTTGATTTCACATTTGTGAGAATTAAAAGTGAGCATTGATATTACTGAAAACTGTTCTTGTATTAAGTAATATTTTATATATGTATGTATCTCAGTTTCTATGCAGATTTTGGACCTCTGAACTTGGCAATGGTGTACAGATACTGCTGTAAAGTAAACAAGAAACTAAAAGTGAGTATTGTAGATGCGTTTATGTTTTTGAATGAAAATGTCTAAACCAGAAAATCTGCTCAGCGGGCTTGTTCTGTACACAGACTTTTGAATAGCGCATCTTAGATTTTAGAAGTTTATGTGAGTTCACCTAGAAGTTGAAACTGATCCTTGATTATACTATAAGGGATATGCTAATCTCTTTCACTTTTCAGGATGACCTGCAATATGAGCTGAATGATGTCATTGCAGTAGCGATCTGCGAAAGGAAGCACAAATTCTTTTGGGTTGTTAATGAGTGTCTATCAAATTCCTTCCCAGAATAATTTTTCTGAAGCTTTCAGAGCTGCCTGTAGACGCTGTTATGGGATGATGAAGAGACTCACGGGGATTGGTGCTTTGGAGCAGAGTGTGTTTTCTGGTCAAGATTGAAAGTTTTGCACATTTGTTGAGTGACATCTCAGTAGAATTAATAGCCAAGTGAGACCAATGAGCTAGTAATAATAAAACTTGACCTGATATGACAGAATTGGGGCAGATAATTAGTATTCATCTACAGTTTTTATTTTGTATGCAGATTTTTTCATTTTCTATATGTATATATAGGTTTTATCATGTAACTTTCCCCCCTCTTAAACTCTGTGCATATGAAGAAAAGTGACATTTATATTTACTAGTATTATTAAATTTATCACATGGAAACCAATATTTAACTTTTTCTTCCTATTTCTAAATGAACATCTTGAATGTTTCAACTTGGACAATAGAATACTACACAGTATGCTCTTAAGGTAATCACAAAGGGCTGGAGAGAAGACCCAATAGTTAAGAGCACTGGCTGCTCTGGAAGAGGACCTGGGTTTGGTTCTCAGCATCCACATGGCAGCTAACAACCATCCATAACTCTGGTTCCGGGGGATCTGACTCCTTCTTCTGGCTTCCTTGGGCATTACATGCATGTAGGCAATCATACACATAAATAAAGATAATCACAGAATTGTAAGTATGTATATTTTATTTCTGTTAGATAGAATGTTGCTGTTATATAGTGCAGTGTCTTACACACAATAACTACTCAGTGATAGCCCTTTTCTTTGTTTTTGGTTGAACTTAAGTACAAAGATAGTCTAGTGGACAACTTCCTGTAGAATATATTCTATGTTTTATAAATTTACAGATTTTTGCCATTGACCGCAAAGTGTTATATGGTCATGCAATAACTTTTTAGTTAATAATTACATAACACAAAACTTATTGCACTCAACACTTTCAGGAATTAACATATACAGTGTTATCTGACTTGAAAATGTATTTGTAAATTCATTTCAGTAAGTCAAAGAGACTATGTCTGTAGCTAGAAAATAAAAGATGTTTGCAATTATAAGCGAGTAAATAACCTTTTTACATAAAATGAACTTTTAATGACAGAACTAATAAGGAAAGGGTAATTAGTCAATGATTGAATGTTTGTGTTTCTTGGGAGGATCTAGGGGTTTCCTAGCTTTTTTTCTTGTGTGTGTCTGTGTGCGTGTGTGTGCGTGTGTGTGAGCATGTGTGTGTGGCATGTGTGTGTGACATGTGTGTGTGCATACACGTGTGTATAGGTATGTACACCTATGTGTGTGGAGGCTGGAGAAGAACGTCAGGTGTCCTGCTCTGTCACTGTCCACCTTATTCCCTGGAGACAGGGCCTCTCACTTACTGTTTTGGCTAGGCTAGCAGGCCAGTGAGCTCTGGGAGTCAGCTGTCTCTGCTCCCTAGTGCTGATATTACAGATCTTTGCATCCTTGTCCCCGCTTTTATGTGGGTACCAGGGGTCCAAGCTTGGGTCCTTATGCTGTGCAACAAGTGCTCTTACCTGCTGAGCCATCTCCTCAGCCCCTATTTCCTAGCTTTCTTCATTAGTCATATTAGCATGTAATTGGTGTGAACCAGATATGCAATTAGTAATCTGGGAACTAAATACTATCTGGAATTACCAAAGAGAAAGGAATCATTATTAGTAAAATAATATATCATGCATTAACTCAATATTCTACTTCTAGAAATTGCTCAAGAGTAGATGGATTGAATTAAGACTTTTTTTCTACCATATTCTATACCTAACAGTTTGGGTGACTATTTATAAAGACTTATTTTAATTTTCTTCATTTCTAAATCTTCCTTACATCATTATGAAAGTTTAGTAAAGTTCACATAGTCCCCCCAGTTCATTCTAGGGATCGGGAATCAGCCGGGTGCTTGGAATGAAAATTTTAACTTTAATACAATTAGTAGGTACTGTCTTACTTTCCAAAGGACTTTTTCCAAATTCAAATGTTAATAAGTCTTGGGTTATTTCCATGAACCATATCAAATAGAATCCCTATATTAGGAGAAAAAGATTTATGTTAGCAATCCAAAGCTGGAATTGCTTTGGTCTTGTAGAGTAAAATGAGAATTCTAGATCTCTCACAGAATGATAGGGTTATATTAGAAAATATATGTAAAAAAGCTTTGCAAACGTCAAGTTTAAGTTCCTATACCAAGCGAGCCTTCTAAAGTAACATCGAATTCTCGTAGGAACTAGAATACAGTGAAGCTTCTGAATAGCTGCTTCTCAACTCTAGTGCCACTCTTTCCCAATGGGAAACTTGGTCGGTAGAGCTTTAGGAATCTAAATGACAGCTGTCAAGACACAAAGAGATGCTGGGGAGACATGGGAGGCCTAGGAGAGTCATGTGACCTGCTCAGGATCTCAAGGTGAGGTCAGGACTGGGTGTCATAGCTCACATTCTTCTCTCTGCCTAGAGGGTAACACTGGTCTCTGGTTTACAATCCTTCTGTGGTCCTGGCCCTGGCTGCTTCCCTTGTCTTCCTCTAGGCCCCTCCTCCTGTCCCTCACCATTGGCTCTGGCTGCCACTCCAGCTGCGCCACTTCCAGGAACTCCATGCTTTCTTATTTGGAATACTCTTATTACATTCCTCAATACATCATCCAGCATCTCTAGACCCTCAGTATCCCCATCCTCCCAGACTATTGGTACCTAGCTGTCATTTCTCCTTTGCAGCCATGGTTACTCATTTTGATTGGGTCCAGGGTTCCTTGCTGCCTCTTCTTGCCAGCTCCATCCTTGATAGCTGACCAGTGGTGACTGCACGCACTGATTTACTGGGAACTGCAGTGCTTTTTCCTCTCCCTGCCTTGCATTTTACCCCACACCATGTGCATTTGCTCACCCTGCCCTGTCTGACTGGAATGCTTTATTCCTCTGGCATAACTTCTCCCCTCCCCTCCCCTCCCCTCCTCTTTTCTCCTCATCTCCTTCCCTTCCTCTCTCTCTCTCTCTGATTGATGTGTGGGTGTACATGTTTATGCACTATGTGGCCCCAGCTGGCCTGGAACTCACTACGTAGACCTGCTTCTGTCTCCTGGATGCTGGAATTACAAGTGTGTGCCACCATGTCTGGTACTCTAGTGACATTTTATTTACTGTACATTTTATTTATTTTTATTTTATGTGTACATATTTTATGTATACCTGCTTATCTGTATGTGTACCATGTATGTGCAGGTGCCCACAGAGGCCAGAAAAGGGTGTTAGATATCCTGAAGTTGGGAACTGAACCTAGGTTCTCTGGAAGAGCAACAAGCACTCCTAACCACCGAATTATCTTTCTAGACCCTCTAGTGACATCATAAGATGACACCAAAATCTGATAGCATGTATGCAGTCTACACTGAATTCTTCAGCATCATTTTATTTTTAATTTTAAAATTATATTTGTCTGTGCATGTATATGTGTATGTGTGTGTGTATATGTATGTGTCTGTGTGTCTGTGTGTATGTGTGTTTGCATGCTTGCCACAGTATGTATGTGGCGGTCAGAGGATAACTTGTGGGAGTTGGTTCTTTCCTTCTACCATGTGGAAGTCTCAGGTCTTGAGGTCTTCAGACTTGGCACCAAGCACCTTTAACTGCTGAGCCATCCTGTTGGCTCATTTAGCATTAATCAACACCTTCCTTTTAGAATTCTTCTCCTGTTTGATTTCCTAACTTTTTAACTTTTATTTTATTTTTTAATTTATCACAATTTTATTTTGTTATTTTCTTTTTACACTGTGCTTTAGGTACATGGCAGTTTCTAGTCTGGAAATTTTTATTTTTTCAGGTAAAGGTTTTATAATTGTTTTCTCCCTCCTTTGGTGCCTTAGATAGATGAATAATATTTTGTTGTGAATTCCTTTCCAATCCCAAGTTTCTCATTTCTTAAATGTCACAAGGTATTTTTTCAAGCTACTGATCTGAGATGGTGATTTATTGCTATTTTGTGTGTCCATGTGCTCATGATTCCCAATGGTCTTATTTTTATTGTTGATCAGAATGGAAGAGTATCCTTCAGCTCCAAACCCCTGCTTGTTTTTTATTTTATTTTATTTTATTTTATTTTATTTATTTTATTTATTTTATTTTATTTTACTTTACTTTACTTTTTTATTTTATTTTAATTTTTTCCCTGCTCGTTTTAAACTGCACTACAACAAATCATTTGTACTGAATTAAGCAGTTGTAGGTTGCAGTTGCTTTTTCTGGTCAATTCTTACCCACGAGAGAAGCAATGAGAGAAGGGAAATCTATTGACGTGAGAACAGTCATAAAACTGTGTGTCGTTTTAATGTAAAGGCCATCGATGATTGATAGGTGAGAGTGGGAAGTGTCAATTTCAAGGATTTCAAGGAATCCATAAACCCTGAAATTACATGTGGTGTTTGGTGTATACATCTATTTTTCTTCTGGGAGGATTCACAACTTTTTATTAGGTTCTCAAAAGTAGCCTTGGCACAGACAGTGCTAAGCACATTAAATTACAGTAGAAAGGCTTCAGAAAGAGAAGACTGTACCAGCAAGGGACAAAAGTGTTTGGTTTTAAAAATGACAATATCATCTCCAAATTTAATCAGTTAAAATATTCAATTACTAATTGAAAAGCCTGAAAATTTTTATAAAACTGATAGGACTTAACCAGTTTTTCCTAATACA